ATAAAACTGTATGCACAGTATTAAATTAACCATCGAGAATGTGATGCTTTGAAGTTCAATTTTGCGGAAATGGTGTACTTGCATGTATGTTTGTTGCATGGATCTCAGTCAGCTTTGGCGTTGGTAGACCGTGGATGCAGTTATATAAACCTTGTAAACATGATTATGTCAGAGTTCAGTTTGGATCCGACAAAGGTAGCAGTATCATTGAAGTATATACTCAACGACGATTTGCCTGCAATCAGGATAAAAAATGACAGCAACGTGCTTGCATACATTCTGTTGAAAGAAGTCGATTGTGATCCAGCTAAATACCCATTAATCATTGACATAATTGATGCAGCAATACAGTACCCATCTGACATGGTCACAGATAATGCTTATCGTAACAGTGAGCTTTATACGTTGCAGGATGTGGCCACAGAAATTTGTGAAGCATCAAGTCAACATTTAGGTCACATTTGTGATAATGAAGTCACGATTGTTTCTATAGCAGATGCTATTCAGGTCGAAGAAGGCAGGATTTTCTGTGATAAGGATATTTTAAAACTGAGCCTATCGTTTTTTGCCATACGAAACATGTTTGAGTTTATGGTTGAACGATCTGACAAGAAAGAATATGTGGTGAGGTGTTCTCATGAAGGATGTACTTGGATATGCCGATCGTCAAAATGGGGTAAAACGAATCTATTCAAGATTCGAAAGATTGGTAGTCACACATGTGCATCAAATGTGGTGTTGGGGTCACACAGACAAGTATCAGCTGCAGTTGTGTCATCTAGCATCAAGTACAAGTACACATCGGCTGGCACCATATACACACCAAAGGACATATGCAGTGATATGCTACATACGTTTGGAGTATATTTGAATTACTCGAAAGCTTGGAGGTCCCGTGAACAAACATTGAAGATGATTAGGGGTGATCCGACGGAATCATTCGGTAGGATACCAAGCTTCTTCTACATGATTCGACAAAGAAATCCTGGTACGGTCACAGAGTTGGAGGTCGATAGTCACAATAGGTTCAAGTACTGTTTTATGGCACTCGGTGCATCAATACAGGGGTGGCAACATTGTAGGCTCGTAATTGTCGTTGACGGTACTTATTTGAATGGTCATTATGGAGGTACCCTATTCACAGCATGTACACAGGATGCAAATAATGGCATATTTGTTCTTGCCTTTGGAGTAGGGGATTATGAGAACGACAAATCGTGGAGATGGTTTTTGGAGAAACTGAAGAATGCATATGGGCACAGAGAAGGATTGTGTGTTGTATCGGACCGTCATGGCAGTATAAAGAAAGCAATAAAACAGGTGTACCCGGAAAGTTGCCATGGTATCTGCTCGTACCATTTGCTGCAGAATCTCAAATCATATTATGGGAAATCAGGGCAAAATATTACGCAGGCTTTCAATTCGGCTGTCCGGGCTTACACATTAGAAGAATTTGAATACAACATGCAACAACTAGACGTAATGAATGATAAGATTCGTGATTACCTGGTACTGTACTGACTACAGCACTGCATTATCACATGCAGTGAAGTGGTCACATATATCCTTTTATACTATTCTCATACTACGATATATTTTGGCAGGATGAAGTAGGCCCTGAAAAGTGGTCACGAATACATATGCCGGCAAACAGATTCTCTACAATGACATCAAA